GTTTGAGCGGAGGCTGTAGCGGGAGCTTGTGATGCCTTAATTAGACAGAAAAGCCAAGCCTGGAACATGCCACCTGCTCCTGCCTCCCATCTGGGGCGCACACGCTGGGAAACAGAGAGCAGGAGACAGGGATGGAGAGATGGACACACGGCGACTCACAAAGTCTAACGCCAAAACCAAAATAAATAATGTAGTCTTATTATTTCCATATAAGAAAGAAGAAATTATATTATGCATTAAAAAGGCAGCCTATTTTAGGAGCATTAGGATTGTTACAAGACATTTAAGCGCATTTCCCCCTATTCTCATTATCTGAACATTATCCTTTTTTTGTCATTTCCGTTATTTTAAATCGTGATTCTCATTTGATTCTTATTACTGTAATATAGTTTTTTTTTTATGTGATAATAAAAATAATTAAAACAACATAAATTAAAGTGCTGTGTGTGTGCACATTAAATGAGAAATTAAATGCATTAAAAATGCAAAATGCAACAAAATCATTATTGTATTATATATATATATATATATATATATATATATATAGGCCTATATAATACAATTGATAATATAATAATGATTTTGTTGCATTTTTAATGCATTTAATTTTTCATTTAATGAGAATTGTGGAAATGTGCTTAAATATAGCTGTAATGCAAAACAAACAAGCAAAAAAAAAAAAAAAGCATAATTGTCCTAAAATGGCATATAATATAATATAGCCTGTCCTAATATATTTTATTGACCTAATATAGCCTGTCCTAATATATTTTAATTATTATTAGTATTACTATTATTTTTAGTTTGGGGTGAAATATGATCCAAACGTGTTTTTGACTGGTTTTGTCAAATGCGTTTAATATGTGCGCTGCTTTGCAGTGTCTATATTGCTCAGTTTCTGCATCAATAGTTCCAGAATTCTGTAAATGATCTGTTCTAGGTTGTATGGATTTTTTTTCTCCTTATTGAGATGTTTTGGTTGTTCACTTTGGGCTTGGACAAGCATTTTCAAGATCGTATTGATTTGCAGATGTTTGTTTTTCACTTATGGGAAATTGCTCCAACCAGTTTGTAATCTCTTTTTTGTTTTTCTAGCAGTGAACAGTGTAGGTCATTTCAAAAATAATAAATAAATATATATATATATATATATATCAAAATCTAACCATACCGCCTTGAAAAAAGTGGTATAGTGTAAAAGACAAGTGGGCAAGTCCAGGCCTGCTTTTTAAGTTAATGAATAGTCATGAGGCCAAAAAGTGGGAGGGGCAAAGATTTGTTGTTGGCTGCATCTAGAAGCTGACAGGGCAAAGAGAACTGGCGGAAAATCAGAAAAAGCGACTCGGAGTGTGTTACCTGTCCTGGAGTTGTTGTGTCAAGTTAGTTTTACTGGGAGCGTCTAAAGTGAAGACGTGAGACGTGAAGAACTGAGAATTGCAGAACTCACCTGTGTTTTGGGTGAGGTCACATGACCAAACAGGTGGGAGAATCTCCCCTGTCTTTTGCCTGCCCAGCGGGATCGCTACGATGCTGTGTGTCGGTGACCTGCCTCGTTACTACAGCACGGTAGGTGAGCAGTTTCTGAACCATTCCATTGATTATTCAGGAGCAATATTCTTTCTTTGCTCACTGTCTTCCAGATTCATTGTGCCTGACTTAAAACTTTAGAGACCATTATTTCATTTTTTATTTTATTTTATTTCTTATTAATCATTATATTAAATTACATTTATAAATGGATCTTCTATGACACATCTGTTAAAATACCAGTCTGTTTTTTTTACTAGGTCTTCAATTCGAGGTTTATCTGTAATTCATTTGCAAATAATAATTTGATTATAACTGATTGTAATATACAACTTACAGTAGCTACTATTATAAATCGCACAGATGCGCTTGTAAATGCTTCAAAACTTAATTTTGAATGATCCTCGAAAATGGCTTTTATATGAACACTTTAAAAAAATCATTTGGACATCTTCATGTGTTATTAATGTGAGATGAAACGTGTGATGCTGCTCGATAGGAAACCTTCAGCGGTTTTAATGCTATAGCTGCAGTAGACACCTGTTGATGTTCATTTCTGTGCACAACTTTGGTTTTGCTTTGATTCATTCTAGAGGGATGAGAGAAATATTGCAACATGCAACATTTTGATATTTTGCAGTTTAGTTCAGCCATCTCACACCTGTTAGCAAAGTCCAGAACATCTACTTAAGTTCATCAGGTTATTATCAGGATTCAACAGAGCAGTTTTAAATAGCTGTAGTGATGTCAGTCCTTTCAGTTTGCAGCAGAGGGTGCTGTTTTTTCATGTTAGTGCTGGAAACATTTCTGCAGCTCACTGACACATCTGCATACTGCTTACTATGTTGTGGCAAAATCTGTCAGATATACTTTGAAATATATTATGTATAATATACTGTATAAAGACTTGTGGTCACATACAGTAGTTCATTGAACATGTTATAACACTATATGGGGTAAGTTGTCACAGTAAACCTGCCATTAAACACCTTATTACAGGCTTTACAGCAAAAAAACATTAATAAATCATACACAAAAAAAGCAAAAACATTTATTGTATAATGTATGCATTTATAACTTTTAAAACGCATGTGACAATATGCCCCAAGTTGCCCAACTTTTAAAATCTGCCTTCATTATGTAGTTGAATCTGGTTTGAATGAATGTCAGTGTGGCTGTCAGTTATAGTGAAAGCATATTGACATTTCTTCATGATATGGATGTTAGTTTAAAGGAGAATTCATTCATTATGTACAGATAGACTGAGAGAGAGCGAGAGAGAGAGAGAGAGAGAGCGAGCGAGTGAGCATGTCTGTGCAAAAATGAAATGATGAAGCATTTACTCACAACACACATACACAAACTCTCTCTTTCTATCTCTTTCTCTCTTTCTCTCTCTCTCTCTCTCTCACACACACACACACAACAATGCTTCTGTTCTGTTTCAACTTGTCACAGAGCATGTTTAGACTTACTGATGAGGCACACCTGTGTGTGTGTGTGTGTGTGGTAGACTCTGAGACAGCGTTTCTCACATTTTATTGTACACCTTAAGATCATTTATGGAAAGCACCCTATGTGAGGCAAAAACTAAGTTCAGAAATCTATTAGAAATCTCTTACGGGGATATAGATTACACTGATACAATGCAAGTATCACATTTAGCATGAATGATTCTTCAAAGCATGCAGCTTGCTGAGGAGAGATATGGCTTGTAGTGGTCAGATATGCAATTTTCTCCTGGTGCATGATAAATCAGATGGAAAATTACATTTACACTGAAGTAGAGACATGGAAATGTGTGTTAGGCTTTTGACTTGGGCCAGTAGATAATCACTTAGAAAAAACCGTAGCAACTCTCAGCAGCATTTCAGTGTTGAATTCTGCAGGAAGCACCCCGTGGTTCTAGTTTTCAGTTAATTGCATTTTGAAAAACTCATCTGTGTACCTTTAAACCCTTTGCTTCATCTGTAGCTCTCTTTTCCGCTGTGCTTGCTTGAATGGTGTTATTCACGCAGGCAGGGTCTTGAGAAAGCATCTTCCGGCAAGTATATACTTGTGCAGGTGTTGTCTGACTGCCGATATGCCATAATTAGGACAATGTGTGGTTTCTGACCTCCGTCCCTCTGGACTCCACCTGCTCTGGCTCCCCGTGTCCACAAGGATCAGGACTCATCAGGTGATAACGTCTCAAGCTGAGCAGACTTTGCGAGATGAGCGTTTTACTCACTTTGGTTTCTGTGGGTTCGTCAGTGTGTCGTTTGACAGCCGAGGACATGTGATTCTGTCAGTTTGGACAATGTACTGTGTGAAAAAGAAGGTAAAGACTTTTCTCTTTGCTTGACTTGTGTTGCAGTTTGGCTATCTCATTTCACAGGCTTCTGATTGGTCCACAGGTTTTGTGGGAATCATTACCCATCATGCTTTTTACCTGAACTTTGAGCTATTCTATCAAAACATGTCTGCATGAATCAAGTGGTAATGTTAGTATTTCTGATTTATTTGCTTTTATTTTTTGAGGTTTTGGTGGTCATTTTATGTCATATTTATATAATAACAGTGTAAAGTAGATTTGATTTCTGTAAAAGCTTCTGCATTGATGCTAGAGTTTTGTGCTGGCTTGGATGTTGCTAAGGTGTTCGTTTGGTGGTTTCTTACTGGCCCAAGATGAAAGATCCCAGCCAAAGTCTCTCTGATATTGTGGTTTTTAGATATGACTCTGGCTTCCAAGTCTGATTTTTTTTTTCCCCACATTTTTTACATTTTGTAGTTAAAAATCGTAAGTCTGATAACTCAGAAAAGTAATAACTCACCTCTCTTCAACAAACTGCGTAATTCATTTATGTCCATGCAAATGTATAGAAGCCTGTTTCTGCCACTGAATAAAAAATAAGGAAGTTAATTGTCACTTTTTATCACACAATTCGGAGAAAAAAAGTCAGAATTGTGAGATATCTACATTAAATTGCAAGTCAGAACTCAAAATTGCGTGATATAAACTTGCAATTGTGACTTTTTCTGAGTTGCAATATATAAACTCACAATCACGAGTTATACAGTCAGTATAAAATGTATTTCTCAGAACTGCAAATTTAAATCTTGCAATTCTGACTGTATAACTCGTGATTGTGAGTTTATATATTGCAACTCAGAAAAAGTCACAATTGCAAGTTTATATCACGCAATTTTGAGTTCTGACTTCAATTGCAAGTTATAAAGTCAGAACTCAAAACTGCGCGATATAAACTTGCAATGCTGACTTTATAACAAGCCATTTAAAAAGAAAAAGTCAGAATTGCGAGAGAAAAAGTCAATAAAAAGTTCTTCAGTGGCGGAAACGGGCTTCCATACAAATAATATGGGACAATTAAAAAAACAAAATAACTAAGTATGAATGATAGTGATGCTAACAGTTCTAAACTTAAATGATTGTGATTTTAACAGTAAAAGACTGTACAAATTCTACAGTAAAAACCTGTAAATTGGTTAACGGTAAGTTTCCATACTATATACGGTGAATAAATGTAATTACATTTAATGTAATTTTACAGTAAAATACTGTTACAAATACGGTTTTTGGAAGTGAAAAAGAAAAAACGTAAATGGACACTCCCAGAATTCCCTGCATGACACTTCATATTTGAAGTTTTTTTGTTGAAATAACGAATAATTCTTCTTAGTTTTTTGTCAGTTGTGTACATTAGGGTTTTATCTTACATCTAATGTTGTTAAATAATAATGATGTTATTGCATTATTTCAGTATCATGTGTGTCACCATGATGGTGTTTAGTGTTTGTGTGAATGACACTGTGCACCTTCTATATATAAGCAGTGTCCTCCTCAGCTCGTAGAAAAGCTGTTTGTGATGAGCTTTGGTTCATCGTGTGACTTTCTCATCACCACCAGTTTTTGGTGGTTATCAGTGCATTACAATGCTTCAAAACAGATATTAGCACTTCAATATGTTGGTTTATTAATATTACATCCATTAATGAAATACGGTATTTAATTGTGAATTTAAAATGTTGCTACCATATTTTTTACGGTGAAGTTCTGGCAACCACAGCTGCCGGTATTTTACTGTAAATGTCACAGATTTTCTTTATCTTTTTTTACAGTGTATGCTATAAATATTCAGAATGCATGGAAATGTGAAACAAATAAAACACAACAAAGAAAATGTCTATGTTTGAGGACTTTGAACTCATCAAAAGCATGAAAATTCAGGGTTTGTTACCAAATTAGCTGATGTTATCATGTCATTATTTCTTTGTCCAGCTGAGCTTTACTTTTAACGCATCTGTTGAGCTCTACTTCTAGTCATCGTTTATGAGTTGTGGGCATGATCTGTGAGTTTTGTGTTTGGAAGTTAGAGAAGAGAATGGCAGGCAATTAGACATTGAACAGATTAAGGTTGTCTTTTGTAAGCCTGGAGGCTTGACTACCTCTCGTATGTCCCGATGTTGTGTACCTAGAGCTTTAGAAGTGGAGTGGATGGAGTCTTATCTCCTCCCTCTTTCCCTCAAAGTCAACTTTCTGCCTCCCTCCTTCACCTGTCTCCCTCCCTCCCACTCCTCTACCTGTCTCACCCTCCTTCTCTTTCTGCCTTTCCTCTCAGTCTCAGTACAGCCTACTGAGCAGCAGTATGGAACAAGGTTTGGGGAACAGAGCAGCGTCTACCAGTCCCTACAGCTCAGAGACCACCTCCAACGTGCCAACGCCGTCACCCTACTCCCAGCCAAACTCGACCTTCGAGGCCATGTCTCCAGCCCCGGCCATCCCCTCCAACACTGACTACCCCGGGCCGCACAACTTCGAGGTCACCTTCCAGCAGTCGAGCACCGCCAAGTCAGCCACCTGGACGGTGAGTACGGCGTCTCGGTTGTGGTGCAACCGTATCACGTGAGCTCCTCGTGAGCCCGTGCACACACAGTTCTTTTCCCACACTCACTGACGATTTTGCTCACAATGTGCAGGCATGAGTTTTACTCTTCTTCAGTTGCTTGTTTGCCCTTTCTTCACTGTCTGTTTTTGGCGGCTCATTTTCAAGACTCTCATTTTGGCGGCGTTCCCGCTTTGTTCCTCTTTTTCAACGTGCTTCTTAGAATTAAACATCGTAGTTTAAATGAAATTTCAAGCAGTGTCCTGTGGTGTGACATGCTGTTGTTCTCCATATAACCTACCCTGCTGTTAAAAAGTTTGGAGACTGTACGATTTTTAAACGTTTTTGAAAGAAAATTCTTATGGTCATGGTCGGAGGCTGCATTTATATGAGTAAAAATACAGTAAAAACAGTAATATTGTGAAATATTATTACAATTTAAAAAAGCTCTTTACTTTGTCAAATATAATAAACTAGAAATGCATTCATGTGATGGTGAAAAGCTGAATTTTCAGCATCATTACTCCAGTCTCCAGTGTCACATGATCCTTCAGAAATCATTCTATTTTGTGGAAACTGTGATTTTTATTTTCTCTCAAGATTCTTTGATGAAACAGTATATTTAAATATATTTCTTATATTTATATGCATATTTAAAAAAAATAAATAAAGAATGGAAAAGTCTTCACTGTCACTTTTGATGTAGTTAAAGCATCCTTGCCGAATAAAAGTAAAGAAAAATCTTACTGACCCCAAACTCGTGAACCGTATTGTATATCGTAGTATATATATTTTAAATAATTCTTATATTAGCAGTTTTAGGACCTCATTTAGATTGAAAAGTTTTTAGGAATTTTATGAGCTGCAAAATAAACTATTGTTGAAAATTGTGAAAATGAAAAATTAGACGACAATTAACAGCATCTGAAATATATTCCTGCTCTTCAACATACATATAAATTAAAACGTGATGTTAAAAGAATAAGGCAAGTCTAATTGCATGCACTTTTATGATTGTAGTTTTAAAAGGAAACTGCTACAGACTGTTCTCAGCGCTGTCTTTGAGCTACAATAATTCAAAAAGTGCAAAACCTTTATATTTAGCGTCAGTTTAGTTTGTCTTATCAAAAACGCTATGAATTTTGAAATTCCTTAGTAAACCCTTTAAATGACAGAATCATCAAGTTTAATTCTTTAGTGCATTTAATGTTGTGTTTACATGTTTGCTTTGGCTTTTAGAATTTGTTGGAGCTCAAAGCAATTTATTCTCAAACTATAAAGATCTTGCACAATAACCTGTTTTGTTACCATTTGCACATGATTCGTCTTAAAATGTAAGGTAACTAATGAAACTTGGGAGGTGAATTTTCCTTGTGCGCCTTAATGCTATGGCATTGCTATGGTATATAATAGCAGTAAGGTGTTTTTAGCATGTATAGATGTGCAGTTGCTAGGGTCTTCTGAGTGGTTGCTAGTGCATTGCTTGGTGGTTGCTTACAGAATTATTAACTTCAAGTTATGGGTTAGTTCAGATCTGTATATGAGGGATAGTACTCATAAGGTTTTTCTTAAACAAAGTGCATCCACACAGGAAAAGAATCACAGTAATGTCAAGCAGAGGAGCTTGAAACCAGAGCAGTCCGTGTTTTCCCCGAAGTCCAAAGGTGCTACATCAGTCTGTCATGAAGATGACCCTCTGAAACAGGAGATGGGGCTCTTTCCTGTGTGGGCTGTTTGTTGGATGAAGTCAAGCGTGAGGCTTGGTCTCTTGACTTTCTGTGGACGTGTAAGGTGATAGCGGTCCCAGGAAGGTGAGTGCTATGGCCATCACTCAGTGTCGGCCTGTGAAGACTGTCACCTCTGACGCGCCACGTTCCACTCCATTCTCAAAGACCAGGCCCCTGTGAGCAACAATAACAGCAGGATAAGCTTTTAAAATGGGCATAAGTGGAGTTTGCAGCACAGATTGCTGTTTACGTTTTAGGATAAGAGAAGCAGGCCCTACATTTGAGTGTGTTTGGCTCCTTAGCTAGCGCCATATATATAATGATACTGTGTTACATACTATCTTGTTTTCTCTATATTAAATCTTCATGCATGTGGGAATGTTCTTTGCATAGTGGATCAAAATTTCGGATTGGTCTAGATTTAACTAACCATCATACGTTTTCAGGATTTTGAGCTTTCGACTCAAAGTGTGCATGAAATGAATTAAAATATTAATGTCAGCATTTCTGATCAAAACTGTCAGTTGTTTCCATATGACATTACTTCAGTCAATGAAGACTAGAAATAATGTTTAGAAAGGACTTTCTAAACAATGTAGAAATAATGTTTAACTTTTTCTTCTGTGGTACATAAAATATGTTTTTTTTATTTTTTTTTATTGTCTTATTGATTTAGTTTTTTTTGTCCATGGAACCAACATTCTTAATTTTTTAAAAATCTTTTGTGTTCAGCAGAAAAAAGAAAGAAATGCAGGTTTGAAAACAACATGAGAGTGAGTAAATCATTTTTGGGTGAAGTATGCACCCAGAAGTTTGAAGAATTTTGAAAATTTGCACATATAAAAAAAAAAAAATCTAAATATAATTTCTGCAATGGCATTCATCTCTGAAGACTTTTGCATGATTCTGCATGAAAATGATGCTCCATGCCACTAGTTGTCAGTAAGTCCAAGATGATTGCTGTAGTGCAACATAAACAATAAAAAAATTATTAAGTGCACCTTTAAAGGGGACGCATTTTTGTTTATTTGGCAGTGGCTGATATGATAGAAGTCACTTACTATGACACTTACTAGTGCTGATGCAGCAAACAAAGTAGGTTACCAATATGCCATTGTGGAAATATCTCATTGTCCCATGATTTATTCATTCCACAACCCCAAGAATCCAATAACAGTAGGGTTATCGAGATTAAGAAAGTACTATTCAGCTGATCATGTGACAGCAGCTCGTGGGCCTCCATGTTAAAAATAATCATTTAGAGTACTGATATATGCTGAGTCTTCATATAATGTGAGTGGACATTACTTTAGACATACTTTTCAGTTTTGTTTGCGATCCCATAGGAGAACCATTTTTTTTTGGTTCCCCAAAAACCTTTCAATAAACAGTTCTTAAAAGAACCACTTTTTCTTAGAGAACATTTTAACAATCTAAAGAACCGTTTTACTATAAAGAACCTTTTGTGCAATGGAAAGGTTCCATGGATGTTAAACGTTCTTCATGGAACCATCAATGGCAATAAATAACTTTTAAATTATTTAAAAAATAAATAACTTCTACTTGCGCCAACGCAAACTGTCTTTTGGCGTTAAAATAGTACTGTGTCAGGATTTACTAAAGACGCGCAGAGAAGAATTAGCGCTGAAAAGGCGTGGACAGTTATTTTTGTGCCTAAACTGTTTGAATATGCATTTGTAGGAGTTTCCCTTTTAGACACAAAATTTATGGGAGGAAAGAATTCAAATGAACCACGCAACGCAATTTACTAACATTTGCGCTCGTCAAATTACTGGTATTTGCGCAATTTTTTAACGTCCAAAAAAAGCATGTCTTAAACTATTTTGCGCCTCTGTGTCGTAAGTAGATCACCTGCAACTGATGGGCATCAGCTCTGCATTCAATCTGCGCTGCGCTTGGTATATTGCATTGGTCGATATGTAAATGAGATGATGTGTCGGTGTTCTTTAATTTGTGCATCGTTAGTAAATCACCCGCAGAAATTTCCACGCCCATCATTGCTGTTTTGGAATTGCGCTCTCGCCCTAATTTGCCCTGTTTAGTAAAACTGGTCCTTGGTGTCTTCACCCCACAAATTGAAGGCAGATTTCAAAGTAGATTCAGAAATGAGTATAGGTTCTTCTATATAAAGAAACATTTCCAAAGGTGGCTGTACGGGAGGAAGATTCTCTTGCATTTGATTGGACAGAAATATCTTTACGATCGTAAATGCAAGATGACTCATCAATATGTTTGATCTGTTTTCCTGGAGCAGAAAAAAAAGTTACATCTGATCTTAAAAAAATAAGACAAAGAAAAGCCACATCTGATTCATTTAAAGAATATCATGGATTCCACGCCTTTTTTGTAACTCCAGAACATCTACTAGATGCAAATGTCCATCACAGGACGACAAGAAGCTGCTTGCCTTGCTACTTTTATTTATTTACTTTCTTTGCGACAGCTTTCGTTTTCACTCTGCCACCCACTCTAAAGACCATTAAATTGTTTACTTTATCCTCCAAAAGAAACGGAGAAAGGGAGAAATGGCTCAGGATTATTGTCAAGTTATGTGGAATGCCAGTGTAACCTCAAACTCGGGGGAATTTCCAGGCGTAATACAAAGGCTTGCAGGCTGAGGATATCTGGGATTACTGTGTAAGGGGTAAGTGAGTCATTGTGTGGCGAACTGAAGGGTTAAAGCATGATGCTCTTGGGTTTGTGTAGCCTCGGGATGCTTTGGGAGAGGCATGGGGGCATTTTGACTGTAATCTACTTGATCCGCAGTGGGCTTCTCACCGCTACCTGAAACAACATTCCTCTCAGCCAGCCTCACGGATGAACCTTTCGTACATTCTGTGTTGCACAATCACCTGTGTTAGAATTGCCGTGGTAATGTTTCCTCACTCACACGAATCCTTCTGGCTTTGATGTCTGCCAATAATTTTGCTTGTATTCATTGTTTTAATAAACCGCATGTCATGTCACAGGGCTTTCACACAACCTGCTTAAAGGAGTATATGAGTGACATGCACACATTTACTCGTGTTAATTCACATGTTCTTTCTTCAGTATGACACAAAAGAAGAGTCTTAACTGCTCTTTTCCATACAACTGATGTGTATTGCTATACTGAAATAGTATTATTAGCTTTCTTTTTATTATAATTTTTTACATTTTCAGTTTCATTTTTTGTTTTGTTTTAAGTTTTATTAATTGTGTTATGCCACTTTTTATTTATTTTCTTGTTCTTTA